CCACTTATCTGGCACCATGCCCGTTTGTAGTGATATGTTGAAAAGATTAGCCAAAGGTGTGCTAAGCTCCTCTTTACATTCCTTTAGAACCCTTGCATACAGTTCATCAGGGCCTGGGGATTTGTTAGGTTTTAATTTATCTATTTGCCTAAGGACCATGTCACTCGTGACCCTAATCGTGCACAGTTTATTCTCGTCCTGTTCTACATAATTTATCATTACTGGAATATCGCTGGTATCCTCCTGTGTAAAAACTGAGAGGAAGTATGTGTTAAAAATTCTACACATTTCCTTATCACTGTCAGTGAGCTGACCCGAGGAACTTTTGAGTGGGCCTATCTTGTCCCTGATCTTACTTCTGTATACCTGAAAGAATCCTTTTGGGTTAGTCTTCGATTCTCTTGCAACTTTAACCTCATAATCTCTTTTTGCTTTTCTAATTCCCTTTTTTATTTCTCTCTTTAACTGAATATATCGATTTCTTAATTGCCCCTCTCCTCTTTTGATTTGCCTATATATGCCTCTCTTTTGACCAATCAGATATTTTAATCTATTGTTCATCCATTTAGGATCATTTTTGTTTGATCTGATTTCCCTATTTGGAACATAATTTGACTGAGCAGCTAGAACTATGCCCTGGAAAGCATCATATCGGCAACCATCACCACCTACCTGACCCTTAGTCAGGTCATTCCAGTTCAGCCCACCTAAGTAATTTTTCAGTCCTATGAAATCAGCCAAGCGAAAGTCAGGGACGGAGACTTGATTGCCATTATTAGGGGAATTCCATGATATATTAAAAACTGAGTGATTTGTGATCACTTTCCCCAAGCTCATCATTAACCTCAAGATTATTAATTAGTGTTTCCCTACTGGCAAGAACCAAGTCAAGGAGGTTATTTCCCCTAGTAGGCTCTGTCACAAACTGTTTTAAAAAACAATCCTGGATCGTATCAAGAAAGTCACCTGACTCTAAATTTCCTGTCAAATTGCTCCAGTCAATCTGTCTATAGTTGAAATCTCCCATTAGCACAACATTTTCGTATGTAGATGCCTTACGAATTTCGTCCCATAGAAGTTTACTGCACTCCCTATCAAGATTTGGGGCCCTGTAAATCACACCCAAAATTAGTTTTTCTCGGCCCTCGAGAAGCTGTAACCAAACAGATTCAGTGGCTGATGCTTCTAATTTAATATCTTGTCTAACACAACAATTTAAATTGTCTCTGACATACATCGCTACTCCACCACCTTTCCTGTTGACCCTGTCAGTGTGGAATTATTTATAGCCTTGTATGTGACATTCAGAGGGCATCTCTCTTATCTTTCAGATTGAGCCAGGTCTCTGTTATAACAATAATATCTATGTTTCCTGCACTTGCAATTAATCTTAGCTCATCTATCTTATTTCTTACACTCCTGCTATTAGTATAGTAAACCTTAAGGGAGCTAGTCCCTTGCCGCCCTCTGCTGTCCCCCTTTGTTTGCTGACCTGATCTATTGTCTTTATTTATAACTTCATGCTGAATGCCTTTTATACATTTACTGTTTCCAACCCTAGTGTTGCAACCTGCTTGTTTCCCCCACACACCCATACCTCTATCTTTCATCAGTTTAAAATCATAGGCATTTCACCAATGGCCTTCTCAATCGAGTCTGCAAGTGCTACCACCCCAGCCCCAGAGAGATGTACCCCATCCCTTGCATACATATCATGTTTGCTATAAAAGTTGTTCCAGTTGTCAATGAATGGGATTGCAAGTTCCTTGCAGTATCTGTCTAGCCAGCAATTTACACCAATTGCCCTAGACAACCATTCATTTCCTACTCCCCTTCTAGGCAAGATGCTACATATGATTGGGATCCCTCCCTTAGACTTAATGAAATCTATAGCTGACCTGTACTTATCTAGCAGCTCTTCTCTCCTACCCTTCCCAATATCATTTCCACCAGCACTGAGACAGATAATGGGCTTGTTCCCATTACCTGACATGATATTATCCAGCCTGTTGACTATGTCCCCAACACCAGCTCCAGGGAAGCACACTCTATCTCTCATCTTCTTATTCCTATTACAAAAAGCACGGTCAATATATCTTACCTGAGAGTCACCAACCACAAGAATGCGCTTACCTCCATTAGCAGGGGCAGTAGTACCCTTACCTTCACTGGCCACTGAAGTACATTCATCCTGAAGAACAGAGAAGCGATTTCCTACCTTCAGATCTTCACTCTTAACTTTCCTTACTCTGATGCGCCCCCCATTACTGTGAACCACTCGCCACTTGTAGCAGGTGCTGGGCTGCACCTCACTGCTGGTAGCCGTTGCTACCTCCCCAACTACAGCCTCCTCACAGCGAGAGACAGACTGCACCTCACTGCTAGAAGCCTCATTCCCCACAACTCCAGCCACCTCACACTCTCTCCCAGACCCATTGAGGTGGACCTTCAGCCTCCTAATCTCCTCCTGGAAAAGCAAGACCTCCTCCTTCAACTCTCCAACCTCAATTTTTAAAACACTGCAGAAGCAAGCCATGCTTTGTAACCGTCCACGCTAATCCCCAAAGCAGCTCAGGGTCGCATAATAACCTGTCTTCGGAATAAAGATTAAGCATTTAACATAAGGATTGCTACCATATGATCTTTAAGGCTTAAGAAATCTTATGGTGAGCGAAGCTTTGTCTGCAATAAAGTATCCAAAATATTACACGTGTTTCCACTTATGTAATTAAATCTTGTGTTCTCGCGTTCATGTACTCGCCTATTTGTACTCACCTATTTGTGGTTGCAGGGGTCGAGTCCTAGCTCCTGGCCCCGCCTCTTCACCGGTGCTACTGGGTCCTGTCTCTCCCCGCTCCATGAGCTTTATCATACCTCGTCTTAAAACTATGTATGGTTCCTGCCTCCACTACATCACTTTCTAGGCTATTCCACTGCCTGACAACTCTTCTTCCGCTTTTATATAGAGAGAGAATATTGAAAAGGGAATTTGTGAGGGTGAGATTATTTCAAGCTGGGAAGACAGTACACTTTATTAAGAAGCCCTCAAGTGGTCACGGTATAAATTATATAATTTATTTTAACGCCTATACGTTTGTATATTAGCTTTACTTTAAACCTAATTTATCTTAATTATACATATAGTGCATGCTAAACTGTATACTTGTAACGAAGACGGAGCATTGCAAGTTGCTCCGTAAATATGTGTCTGAATTAATGTTATCATAACGAGTTACAGATCTATTAAGTAATTAAGGTTTCTAACTACATTCCTGTGACCTCCAGATTCATTATTTGACTCTCTTCCTCTAAAGGGAGACCTTGATTCTGGTGAAAAGCTCTTGGTCCAAGGAACAAGAGCCATCGGATCAAACCTGAACATCTTCCATGTCTCGGACACTGTATAACTCCTACCCTATGAACATACCGCTCTCCTAATATTATTTGTAATGCTTAACACAGACGGATCTACGTAGGTTATATTCAGATTACTTTCTTTGGTTAATTCATCATCTATATCATGTAAAAATAATAAAATGTTAAACAGAATGGATAAGAATTGTACGTTAATTCCCTACTTTTTATTTTTGGTATCCTTATCAACTTCTCTGATGAGCATATGTTAATTAAGTCATTCCGAGTTCAGTACATCCAATGATGGTTACTTTAGAAGAGAATTGTTTACTTATCTAGAATTCTGTTGCTAAACCAGCACCTCCCTTTATCCTTTCTATATCTAAATTTGTCCAACCTGAATCCATTGCTGCGAATCCTGACTTAACTGAATATTTTCAGCGCGTTCTATATAGCCCCTTTATTTATTCCTGTCTTTCATTTGTACACTTCAGTCATATATATCCTCTTAATTCTTATACCCCTTTAGGGAGTGCAAATTCACCGTCTACATCCTATCTTCATACGAAATGTTTCTAATAGAACAACTTCGTAATTCTTCATTGTGGTTTCCAGCGCGTTTATGTCCATTCTGTAATATAAAGACTAGAACTGTGCAGCATAATCTAAATGAAGCCTTACGTAAAATTTTACGACTCGCTCACCATGGGTGAGCGAGTCGTAAATAAAGTTTACCATGAAGACTCCTGTTATTTAGTGTTTTTTGATATTAAGCCAAGAGTTCTATGAACTTTATTATGAACACTTATGACTTCTTACCTTTGCTATAAATTGTTAGCTAGAGCTTCTGAATCATCATCTCATCCAGTATGTTTACCTGGAGTTTACCTGGAGAGAGTTTCGGGGGTCAACGCCCCCGCGGCCCGGTCTGTGACCAGGCCTCCTGGTGGATCAGCGCCTGATCAACCAGGCTGTTGCTGCTGGCTGCACGCAAACCAACGTACGAGCCACAGCCCGGCTGATCAGGAACTGCCTTTAGGTGCTTGTCCAGTGCCAGCTTGAAGACTGCCAGGGGTCTGTTGGTAATCCCCTTTATGTGTGCTGGGAGGCAGTTGAACAGTCTCGGTCCCCTGACACTTATTGTATGGTCTCTTAACGTGCTAGTGACACCCCTGCTTTTCATTGGGGGGATGGTGCATCGTCTGCCAAGTCTTTTGCTTTCGTAGTGAGTGATTTTCGTGTGCAAGTTCGGTACTAGTCCCTCTAGGATTTTCCAGGTGTATATAATCATGTATCTCTCCCTCCTACATTAGTTTATAGGTGCCATTATTAGCTTCCTTTCCCAGAAAAGAACTTTACATTTGTCTACATTTAACTTCATTTGCAATTTCTCCGACCACGACATCATTATATCCAGATCTTCCTGCAGCGCTCCAGTGTCCTCATCAGTACTTATTTGATGGCATGTTTTAGACGTCATCAGCAACTTCCATATGTTGCTATTTATTCCCTCATGTATGTTGTTTATGTATATTGCGAACAACATAAGGCCCAGTACTAACCCCAGTTTGAGTAGGGAAGTCCCACTCAAACCCAACCATTTCCACTCGTGTACTGTTCTAACCGTTGATTATATTTTCTTTCAGGAACGAGTGAGGGAGAGTGTAGCAGGTGTGTGAGGGAGTGACCTTGAACGAGGAGCTAGTAACGTACCCTGTGAGCTGTGAGGCTGGTGCCCACACTAACACTACCTACCTGGCCCAAGATTGACGCACTAACCATCCAGAAGAAACCACAATACGTCACTTCTAGTGACTGCTATCATATACACCATTTCACGAGCAGCGGAACACCAGTATAACCTCCAGTGCTACAGTGAAACAATGAACATCACGATAATTAGCGACTGAGTTTATGTAATGAATCAGCTCAAAGACGATGTTAATGTCGCGATGAAATAAGTGTTGCGTGGTGTGTAAATATATGCTTGACAGTCTTATGATGTGCGAGGGTGTCCAAGTGCTGCTCCTGTACGTGCAGCTGCTGCAGTGCCTACATTCCCGCCTGTCTGCACCTGGTGCCAACACTGTGAGGTTCCAACCTGTGCCTGTCTCCCGCTAGGATGTCAGCATGGAACGCGACAGACGAGGGTTCCGTTTGTCGGCTGGAGGTGCGTTGCTCACACTGCTGGCCTTCGTGGCAGCCATTGCAGCCGCCACCTCCTCCAACTGGGCCTCCTTCACTGGTAAGTTTCATACCTCTTGCCTCCTAATAACAACCTTCCTCCCTACTCCTCCCTTCCATGTGCACCTGGTCAAGCCGGTTCAAGCCAGGTCTCTCTAAGGAAGTTGTTGAGTGAGTTGTTGTGTTGCGGGGATTCCCGGAGTGCTTGTCTTTGGCTATCCTGCCTACCCCAGCCTTCGGATTCTTTTGGGAATAGTCTTGTAGTTACTTGATGGAGGAAAATGTTGGTTCATTTAAAAGAGCTATCTGTTCCCCCCCCCTCTCCGTCCCGTGATACACACACACACACACACACACACACACACACACACACACACACACACACGCACATACACACACACACACACACACACACACACACACACACACACACACACACACACACACACACGCACATACACGCACATACACGCACATACACGCACACACGCACATACACACGCACACACGCACATACACACGCACACACACACACACACACACACACACACACACAATACACATACACATACACGCGCGCACATACACATACACATGCGCGCGCGCACACACACACACACACACACACACACACACACGCACGCACGAGGCCAGGAGCCGAGGCTCGACCCCGAGAAATCACAAAAAGGTGAGCATGAATGAGTGTACACTTACATATGGCTGCTATGTCTTCCCCCTCTCCCCCCCTCCCTCCCTCTCCCCAGCCAGACATAGAATACAACCTGGAAGCAGTACCGCTGCAGACAACGTCATAGGAGAAAAATCTTGGAGTGAGCAATACATTAAGCTTATCATTAGAAGTACATATGAATCGTATAACTTCAGCGGCATATACGAGAATAGCTAACCAAGAACTGCTTGCAGGAAACTGAACGAAAGTTAATACGCTTATGTTGGAGTATGCGGTGACAGCATGGAACCTACACATGATACAACATATGAAGAAACTGGAGATTAATTCCGGGACTTAGACTACAAGGAGACAGCATTTAGATACAGTACTAGACGAGAGAAAGATCTTGGGAAACTTGATCGCGATATACAAAATATTCAGAGGATCACTGTAGATAAAATGGATAGGAATAAGCTCTTTTAGATGCAAGGATTGGGAGGGGGGGGACAGATAGGTGGAAGCAAACACGATACAAGGTTTGAAGGGTAGGTATGATCAGGTATTGGAGGCCGGCAGTCAGTAAGGTGCCCAGGGGCTATGAGTCGAGCACTACAAACAAAAGTAGATACGCACGCAATGCCCATGCACACGCAGTACCCATACTAAATCCTCCACAAACACGAGTTCAAGAATTAAAACTTGACACCCGAAACCTCAACTTGGTGAGTGTACACAACTAACCTAACTTAACCAGAACCTGCAGTAGAAAAAAAAGTACCAGAGGTGACACACAAACAAAATTCTCAGAGAAATAGTAACATTATACTCAAGAACCCGGACAAGGTAGATGTGAATTAAGTAAATGGTAAAAGCTAACTCCACACTGTGTGTGTGTGTGTGTGTGTGTGTGTGTGTGTGTGTGTGTGTGTGTGGTGTGTGTGTGTGTGTGTGTGTCTCGCCCTGGTTTGCGGTATTGAGGACGTGCTTTTATCAGTTGTAATACAGTGCCGGAAGATGACTGTTCTGGGTGTCATATGTTGTAAAGTATTCAGTACACGTTTTGTATTGTGCTGCTGTGTATTTCTGGATTTGTTAATGTTATTGTCCCATGGGGACCTTATTGTTCTATGTGCTATAGTAGTACTATGTTATTGTGATATATATATATATATATAATATATATATATATATATATATATATATATATATATATATATATATATATATATATATATAATATATATATATATATATATATATATGCATGCAACAAGATCACAGTAAACAGGTGATATCACAATATGCAAAACAACCACTGTGAAAAAATAGCGAAATTCCAAGCGCTTTCGTGGCTTCTCATATTCCTTGATAATGTGAGAAGTCACGAAAGCGCTTGGAATTTCGCAATATTTTCACAGTGGTTGTTTTGTGTATTATATATATATATATATATATAATATATATATATATATATATATATATATATATATATAGTTTTTATTAAGGATCTAATGTGTATTGTGTTGTTTTTGCAGTGTACCTTCTCGGAACAGGTCAGTCAGTGATTTTAGCACGAGTTTACCTGCACTCGCTTTATATCACCTTAGTACTCCACGGAGCGTACTTCCAATGTATATATTGCACGTCTGCTTGTTAGTATAATTGTGAGGGGAAAATCACCTGGCACAGATCTTGATATTATGATGACTGGCTTAATAATGGCTCCTTAGTGTCGTAATGATTTCATGGTGACATTGATTAGTTGTGGCCTTGATATCATAAAATTACCTCAGAAAATCTTATTAAATGGTTGCTCCCTTGGCGCTCTCTCCACTGCTATAGTAGGTTGTCGTGGGAATGGATATGCCGTTAAATTGACACAAGTGTACCAAAGTGTACGTGATCTCTTGTCTCCCACATAAATATGGCTTCTGATACTTTTCCATAACCCTGGGGTTACACCACCCGGATACTGTGAGCTATGGTGCCTCATTAACACCCATTGTGACACCTTTAATCTTTTTTGCGCTGTCGCTCACGAGAGTATAGGAAGTACATTAAACTAGCAACTCGGGTGAAAAAAAGAGTTAACCGTAGGACATTAATAATAATAATAATAATATTATTATTATTATTATTATTATTATTAATTATTATTATTATTAATTGTGCGTTTGAATGAGGCGTAGTAGCGTGGTAAACTTGACAAAAAGAGTTACTCCTTGAAGTATCGCAGAGAGGTATTGGGGAAACCAGAATACCTTTCTTTATTTTCCTACAAGGAATAGGATTCATATTAGGAAAGTTGTGTATAAAGGATGCTTCAAAAAGACGGCGTAGTGAAGGCTAAAAGAAGGGAATGCAGTTTTGGCAGAGGATCAGTTAATAGGTTGAATGTGATATCTAACATGACAGAAAAGAGCATTATTAGTGTCGGCAAATTTAAGGCTTCTTTTGTGCTTTTTAAATCTCAGAAAGAGAGTAGCCAGTTTCTCCAAAGTATTGGAGGGGAGGTGAAGTGCAGGAAATAGAGTCGACTCCGGAAGCGTCAATAGCAGGAGGAGAGGTGTGAACTAGGTAACTACGAAGGCGAAAAGTAAGTTTGATGTGTAAGGAATGGAAAGGATTGTTGAAATTTGGGGGACTGGAAATATAGGGAAGACAAAAAACAGATTTCATAGTAGACCCCGTCTTGTTGAAGTATCCATTGTACATAACTTTCCTAATATGACTCTCAGTCCTGGTTTTGTCTCAGTGGAGGTCTTCCTTTCTCATTACTAGGAATAGACGGTGGGGTCTGGTTAGGCTGGTGTGTCTGACCGCCGTCCATCCATACTTTAACTTATTCATTCATCGTATATACAAACTACATGAACGTTTACGGACGTTCACGTGTGCATTTATGCACATTCATATGTACGTTCATGTAGCAGACTTTATTTGGGGCTACTATATCCTTTCTCGGATCAAAATTGATCCCCTCTCATTTCTCAGCTGTATGACCCCTTTATGGTTTTAGCGCTCGTCTGTGAATTGTATCTTAGCATTAACATAAATATTGGTCATTTACTAGGTTAGGACCCTCATCAAATACCAGTTCATTCATCTAGCAGGTGCAAAATATGGATACAATCTTAAGATTTCATATAGCTTATCATTTACCATCCTCTCTAGGGTGTTCGAAAGTGCCTCTTCGTGGTTAGATGTATGGACACTTAAGACATGTTCTAATATCTGTCCCTGTAATATGTGACTTTTTAGTAAATGGCTATGTAAGATATAATATTCTAGTATATAACCCTATCTCTGTACACGTATTCAGCATTCCATATGATTGACATGACCACGCAAATTATAGTCGAAGATAATTGCAGCCTAGCCTTAGCCTAACAGTGACAACAACGTACGTACGTACGTCCATTGCTCTTAATTTCCATAAACCTGGTTTACTTGGCACATTTCGTTATGCTGGGCAGTGGATCAGCTGGTTCCTATGTCTACTCTCCAACTTTCTTCAAATTCACTTGCTAGTTCATTTCTAACTTTTTTTTTAATCTGCTTGGAAAACAAAGAATATATTCGAGATTATCTTTATTTAATGCTAATTGAGCCAAAGCATCGATTTCATCGTGCGCCCGAAGGCCTATGTGACAAAATTCACGAGTTTAACGTTGTTCACTTGTTTCACGAAATCGTAATGACACGATTGCAAACAAACCATACCACGGGTGGGGATAGAACCCGCGCGTGGTCTGGAGTTTTATGACTGATCGCGGGTTCTGTCCCCGCCCGTGGTACGGTTTGTTCAGTTGTCAGCACTGTCAGCATGGGAGGATCAGTCTCATTTTCAGCACTGGCATGTCAGAATGTATGAGCACATTTCCTTTACTTGCTACCCCGTTAATTAACCTAGCAGTAAATTGATAGCTGGGTACTGACTGTTATAAGTTCCATCCTATGAAAGAGAACAGGACCACGACGGAAATAAGTCACACTGCTTTTCTTGGGTTACCCTGGGGTTATAACTCTTCAAAACCGAAATAACATTTTGTAAAGACTCCTGACCATGTGTATGGGCCATCATTTGAGAGATGGAAGGGTAGAGGAATGCAGGAAAACTAGCTTGCAAGCCGCCAGGGTCTCACGGAGCGGCTCACTCGGTAAAGGAAGCAAAACATATTAATTTCCATGTAGGAAGTGAGAGTGGATTACCTCTTCGATCTGAGCATAACCCAGGAAAGACACTCATTGCTCAGTTGTAACCTATTTAAAATATGATGACGTTTTATAAAAACTTCATAAATCCTAAAACGTGATTTTAGCACATTTTAAGCTCCGTGTCCCTGCGTATTTTCCCGTTCCATCGTTAATTTATTCATCATCAAGACTGGCGTTGTTTTGTTGGGACGAAGGGGTGACTAGTAGGCAAGAGGATAAAAGGTAGTTCGGGGGAGTCGAGGTCACCTACTATCAGAAGAGCTGAGTGCTTCCTGCTCCAGTGTGTTGGTAGTGGTGGTCTGTGTGCTGATGAAGTCAGCAGTCACATGACACGCATGAACACGCACGCGCGGCCAGGAGCCAAGGATCGACGCCAGCAACCACGAAAAGGTGAGCACAAATGAGGATACACTCACCTGTAGCTGCTTTATTGTACTTTCTTCCTGTCCCACCAGGGTTTTGAAGGGGATCTATCTTTGATGCCTCTAATTTTTTTAATCATTTATCGTCCATTACAGCGTAATACGAAGCGGTAAAATACAGTATTTTGTTGCATATTTGCAGTAAGTTTTGTTTCCTTATATGTGGCCTTCCTGTACCCTTATAACAACCAGGAAGGAGATTCGCGTATGCCAAGAGGAGGAGGAGCAGAACAAGAGGAAGATAGAAGAGAGAGCCCATAGGTATCAAAAGACTTTAAAGAATGACCTGTTTTATCCTCTGGAAAATGAGTATCCAACTCAGTGATTGCAAGTCACTTTAAAAGCGTAAAAATGTTTCAGTGTGTGAGGGTGGTCACGTGGCTTGGGGGATCCGTAACCCCCCAACCTTTACCCCGTGTTAGAATGTGAAGCTTCGGCTCCAAGCTCAGTAATTGTCTTCAGTGTCTCTAGCTACTGACTGCCACAGCGTCAGTAGCTGCGTTCACATCACTACTACTGCTATAACTTAGCAGTAACGAGTATTTTTTTTTTTCGAATGATAACTAATATACTGCTGTGCAAATGTGTTTTAAATGCCGTCCTTCTGCAAGTATTAATGTGTTAATGAATGGTATGCAAAACTCAAGATATATACTGAACATGCAGGTATTTGCACAGCAAAAAAGTACATATGCGGACCTGTAGGGCACAAGAGACAGTATATACATGTGGAGACCACAACATAATGTAAATAATTTACCGACCGAGCACAATTCATGAATACTCAGGGCAAGTCAGCAATAAAAATAACAGAACAGTTGTTTACAATCGTGTTATTACGATTTCGCGAATTTAAGATACAAACATGCTCAGTGGAATCTACCTACGCGACTCCCACAGTATAATCTACCTGCGCTACTTCCACAGCATAAACTGTGTTAATGTGTGTGGCGACGTATTCGGTACGACATTACTGAACAACAAAGGTGTTTGCCACTGTGTTAGGGTAAGGTGGACACATCAGGGTCGTCCGTAGCAACTGATTACACATCATCATCAATGTGTCTGTTATGCAGCAGCTTGGTGGCATTACATGCTACTACACAACACCTAAGTTTATTTTTTTTACTAAAATTGGATACATCAGTAGTGTGCTGCTACCCTGTTCTATATGATAGTTACGTAATGGGAACAAATGCTATCTATAATTTCCTGTCATATTCCATCATACAGGATGGATTTCATACATGTACAGTTGAAATCTTATGTCTGGGGTGGGAGACTACATTAGGGCAATGGGGATATCGTCAGGTATTCCATTAAGGGTTCAGTAGTTACGGCAGCTGGAAGGGTTTCCAGCAGAACAGAAGCTACTATTACTTGGAAATTAGCATATCTTAGGATGGCCTGTCCCACATACACAAGTAATGGATTTTTTATGAATATATGTCCATCATCACAGAACGAAAAATAAGAAAAGAGACGCGGGGAAATGGGAGGTTGATTTTTAACCATATTATACACTATATCTAAAATTACATATGTATCTACCTGGAGGGTATTCCGGGGATCAAGGCCCCCGCGGCCCGGTCCACGACCAGGCTCCCCGGTGGATCAGGGCCTCATCAACAAGGCTGTTACTGCTGGCCGCACGCAGTCCAACGTACGAACCACAGCCCGGCTGATCCGGCACCGACTTTCGATATCTGTCCAGTTCCCTCTTGAAAACAACCAGAGGTCTACTGGTAATGCCCATTATTGCTGGTGGGAGGTTGTTGAACAGTCTTGGTGGCCCCGGACTATGTAAATTCATTGCTGCAATACTCTAGACATTTTAAACTACATTATATACTTAAGAATAGATACTTACATCGTAAAACACACTATTTCACAAGTACTAAGCAATAAGCCTA